CTGAGTTATGAGTCCAGTCCAGTCTATTGTTCAGATGAACACCAAGGTACCTGTAGCTGTCCACAGCCTCAATGTCCATACCTTGGATGTTCAGTGGTTGCAGTGGAGAATGCTTGTGCCTGCGGAAGTCTACCACCAGTTCCTTGGTTTTACTGGCGTTGATCTGGAGGTAGTTCAGCTGGCACCAGTCCACAAAGTCTTGGGTCAGACCTCTGTACTCCTTGTCGTCCCCATCAGTGATGAGGCCGACTATTGCAGAGTCATCAGAGAACTTCTGCAGGAAGCACTGGGTGGAATTGTGGGAGAAGTCTGCAGTGTAGATGGTGAAGAGGAACGGAGCCAGAACCGTTCCCTGTGGGGCCCCCGTACTGCAGACGACCCTGTCCGACACACAGCCCTGAGTCCTCACATACTGTGGTCGGTCGGTGAGGTAGTCCAAAATCCAGGTAGTGAGGTGATGGTCCACTCCAGAGTTCTCCAGCTTGTCCTTCAGAACCGAGGGAAGAATGGTGTTGAAGGCACTGGAGAAATCAAAGAACATAATTCTCACAGTGCTTCCAGCGGTCTCCAGGTGAGCGAGGGAACGATGTAGGAGGTGAATGACGGCATCATCCGCTCCAATGCCAGGCTGGTAGGCAAACTGAAGTGGGTCCAGTGATGAGCTTATTAGGCGCCGAAGCTGAGCCAGGACCAACCGCTCCAGGGTCTTCATCAGGTGGGATGTCAGAGCCACCGGCCTGTAGCTGTTGAGGTCCTTGGGGCGTGAAGTCTTTGGCACTGGTACAACACAGGAGGTTTTCCAGAGCTGTGGGACTCTTCCCAACCTCAGGCTCAGGTTGAAGAGGTGCTCCATCACCCCACACAGTTGGTCCGCGCAGGACCTGACGACCCTCGAGCTGATGCCATCTGGACCCGCTGCCTTCTTGCCATTAATCCTCCTCAGTTCCCTCCTAACCTGGGTGGTTGAGAGAGACAGGCTGGAGCTTTGTGTTGAGTGTGTATTGGATGCTGTAGTTGGGGGTGGGGGGGAGTGAGCAGGGTGAATAGAGGAGGTGTGAAGAGTCTGAGGTGGAACAGCAGCAGTGGGGGTGGGTGAGTCTGCAGCCGATGTTGCAGACTGCCTCATGGCTGAATCAAATCTGTTGAAGAAATGATTCAGTTCATTTGCCCACCTCACATCCCTCCCAGGCAGAGAGTTCTGCTGTTTGTGGCCCGAGATGGTTCTGAGGCCTCTCCAGACTTCACCAACGTTGTTTTGTTGAAGCTGGTTCTCCATCTTCTGCCTGTAGCTGTCCTTCCCATTCCTTATCAGTCCCCTCAGCTCTCTCTGCACCCTTTTCAACTCCTCTTTGTCTCTGGATTTGAAGGCCCTCCTCTTCTGCTTGAGGACGGTTTTAATTTCTGGGGTAATCCAAGGTTTGTTGTTGGAGAAACACCGTACAGTCCTGGTAGGTACGGTGTTATCCACACAGAAATTTATATAGTCAGTAATGCATGTCACCAGGCTGTCGATGTCCTCTCCGTGGTCGTCACAAATCACCTGTAGGGGTGTAGGGGTGTAGGGTAGTGTAGGGGTAATGAGATCTGTATATAAATATCTTCGGGCCAAAATGTTGCTGCTTCTGTTTTTCATTCCTGTAGGTGTCAGATATGTAGGATTGGTTTGACTTTGAACAGATCGTTTTGAAGAAGACTTCAGTTTGTGAGCTACACGTCATGTTTGAGCTTTAAAATAGAAGCCTCACCTTGTAATTTCCTCTTGTTTTCCATCTCCATAGACAAGAAGCGCCCTGGCAGAAAGATGATCTGTGTACCAATTGAAATACCTCCTGAGCTCCTGAAGAAACCCAAAGAAAAAATGGAGTACCACTGCTCAGTGTGTGGCAAAGAATTCCCACATGCCTACAAACTAGAGCGGCATGAGCTGATCCACACAGGAGAGAAACCGTACTGCTGCTCCATCTGTGGCCGTGGTTTTAACCAGAAGGGAAATCTCAAAACGCACTACAAAGTCCACTTAGGTGAGAGCTGCTAACAACGCAAATATAATACTTGACAAGCCAGAAGCATTGCATTGCACTGTTGCAATACAATGGTGGCATCTTTCACTACTTTTAACATTGGCACTGTGTTTTATTTGCTCCAAATGCATTTTTATCTTGGAACTGAAGATGCATGATTTATAGTTTTTCAGAGCAGCATTTGCCATTTATACTGCTGATAGATTTGTCTTGGTCATTAACTAGGAAAATTGTAATGATTAGTATATAATAATTAACCAATTTAAGTTTTGATCTCCTACCTGTTAATCCTATGACCTGAGTTATTTGCACTTTTACCCCAATGTAAAAGTGAGGTAAGCCTAAACTTCTATGAACTGCAGAGGTTGTTATACCTCAAAGCAAAAGAGTAAAACATGGTTTGAATCTTCCACTTCTCTGTAGGTCGTAAGGGTGCTGTGGATTTTGATGATGAGGTGAATCCCATAGCGTCAGAACTCTCTGAATATTTAAAATCCCTGCCTGGCGAGTCCAGGATTCGATCATCCCTCCGTTGCCTGGAATGTGGAAAAGACTGTGACAGTCATTCAGCTTTGCAAGCACACCACATCACTTCACACACTCAGACAGTCTCTGAATCAGGCCCCATCAAGCCCGGCGCACCACCTCTTCTCTTCTGCCGCCGCTGTGGCATTCAGTTTAGTGAAAAAGAAAAGCTGGAAGAACACATGAAGACCCACATCAAGGAGAAGCCCTACTCCTGTCCCGACTGTGGCAAGAGGTTCATTAACGAGAGTTACATTCAAATCCATCAGCGCATCCATACTGGGGAGAAACCGTTCCTCTGCTCTCAGTGCGGCAAAGGATTCCATACTGCCTCCTCCCTCAAGCTGCATGAAATGCAGCACTCCGGGGAGAGACCGTTTGCATGTTCCATTTGTGGGAAGACATTTCGGATTAACTCTTACCTAACAGCGCATTACCAGACCCACATTAAAGACAGGCCATTCATTTGTAGCATTTGTGGAAAAGGCTACTCCAGAGCAGAGGAATTGAAGGTGCACCACAGACTTCATACCGGAGAGAGACCCTACGAGTGCGGGGATTGTGGGAAGAGTTTCATTTATCGTCAGGGCCTTCGGCAGCATCAACGCACACATGCTGGAAGACGCATCGGGCCAACCAGACAGCTTGGTAGACCAAAACAGCAGGCCAGGCTTGACATCTAACACTTAATCTATCGATGAATTTTTGTTGTTAACCGTGTTTGAAAGTATTGCAGTAAATTGTGTTTTTCTTCCTTCCATTCCTCACAGCTGCAGAAAAGATGATTACTGTGTCTAAAAAATGTACACCACAGACTTCCTGTGGGTTGCCAAGAGTTTGACAGTTTGTTGTGTGGGTTTTTCTTCTATCCATGTTTTCTAATTATGTTTTTATTTACCACCACTTGTAGCTCATCTGTATAAATTTGAGTGCCTTTGTAACCTGCATGCCAAATACTAATTAATGTTTAAAAAAAGATCATGCACTATATCCTTGATATTTTAAAATCCATGTTGATGGAATACAGACATTTTTAAGAAACAGAGATTGTTTGTTTTCTGTATTTGATATGGCATCTTCATATCAGGCTACAGGCCGAATTAGACAGATGGTTTCTCTCAAAAGCTCCACCAGCCAGGGTGCCGGTTTGGCTCAGTGGGTGAGCCAGGGATGAGTTAACAGTAGGGATGGGTACCGGTGTCCGGTGCCATGATGGCACCGGTTCTGACATAAACGGTAGTAACCAGACCGAAAAGCAGCGCACATTTCGGTGCGCTTTTTCGGTGCTTTTTTTCCCTGAGCTGTGATACACTTCTAGCCAATCATTTTACGTTTCCAAGGATAGTAGGCGGGTCCAGGTACTTTCGTTCTTTTAGAGCAGAGCTACAGATTAAAAATGCCCACGGCGAAGCGGTCAAAGGTCTGGCTGTACTTCACAGCAAAATATGCAAACTCAGCAGCAACAAGTGCTTTAAGCTGATACTGTCAAAGGAGGTAACACCTCGAATCCGATGAAACACATGGCGACGCATAGCGTTTTTTTAAAAGCCGAGAAATGCGCCGTATTTGATAGCTTGCTGCGAGACCTCACACCGAGCGCATCTACTGCGGGTGTGGTGCCTGTTATCGGACCCAGATTTAGCAGCATCCCCCAAAAACACGAAGAGGAGAGTCCTGGCCCCTAGCCCTGCCAGTGTAGCAGATGTGATGAGGATGATGATGCAGCAGCAGCCGTGCTTCTCTGCATGAGTAGCTTAATGTTGTTTGTGTGTAATTTACGTTGAGTAGGCTCACCACGTTATTACATTAATGCAGGTAGTGAACTAGCAAATCTCATCATAGCTACATGCGGCTGTCTTCTTGTTTGATGGCAGATACTCCCTTCACCCTGGCCAAAAAGGCTAAAATGACCAAAGAAAAAGAGGGAAACGGCTAAACATGAGAGGTTTTTGGACAAAGTTTGTGTTTTTTCCATTGTTTAAGCACTGCTTCCAGCCAAGAGTGATACCATATATGCCCCATAGCTGCAGAAAAGGCTAACATTGTTATCTTTTTACAAAAAACCAGCTGAACATGAGAGGTTTTTGGACCAATTTTGTGTTCTCCATTCTTTAAGCACCGGTTTGAGCACCGTTTGAGCACCGGCACCGTTTCAAAAGTACCGATTTGGCACCGGTATCGGATAAAACCTAAACGATACCCATCCCTAGTTAACAGAAGCTATGACTCATTAAACTTGGCAATATTTTCCCAGTCTTCTATTGTCCAACTTTGGGAAGCCTCTTTGGACTGTAGTCTCAGTTCCTGCTCTTATCTGGCAGGACTGGCACTCATTGTGGTCTTCTGCTTCTGTAGCCCTTGTGCGTCAAGGTTCGGGGATGCTCTTCTGCATACCTTGGTTGTAATTTGTGGTTATTTTAATTACTGTTGCCTTCCCACCAGCTTGAATCAGTATGACCATTCTCCTCTGAGCTTTGACATCAACACAATAGTTTCAGTCAGAGAACTGCTGGTCACTGAATATTTTCTCTTTAGTTGACCATTCTTTGTAAACCCTAGAGATGGCTGTTTGGGAAATCACAGTAGATGAGTAGTTTTTATTGAGACCAGTATGTCTGGCCCCAACAATCTTACCAGGTTTGAAGTCACTTAAATCGCCTTTCTTCCTCATGATGTGTACATGCTTAAATGCAAGCTGTGGCGACATGATTGGCTAATTGCGTTTTATGATTATTACTTTTACAGTGCAATCACCACACAGTTATACTTTTGGGGTCTTATTGTCAGTAACAGGAATGCAATAAATATTCTGAGAACGCACACACACTTATCTACATAAATAAAACACAGACTCATTCCATATCAGCTGACCAAATTTTAAAAAAAATTCCCAGCCTCACCATCTCTGATTTGGCTTAAAACATTCCAGGATAATGATACACTTCTTATTAATAGAAAAACTGCCCAATTTTAGCTCTCTAACGTTATTAATTTGTTCACTAAATGCAAAAACAAAACTACATAACTGCATAAATTTAACATCAAATCCATGTAATTACAAAGATATTAGAACTTTAAAAAAGAAAAAAAACCCATTCATATCGCACTCGAAGAAGACGCTGATCGTGAACGCGCTCCGCTGCCCCTGTTCTCCGCGCATGCTCTCTTTAATCGCACCGTCAGGAAAAGTTTGCAAACACAATGGCTGAGGAGCAAGCTCAGACATCAAACGAAGAGCCCGTTCCTCTGTTCCTCATAACATCAAACACGGCACAGCAGAATAAGAGAAAAAAGCTCGCAGACAAAGAGCGCGTTGAGGAGGGAGTGTCAGATGAAGCCAGGATAAACATCGGAGCCGCTTTTCAGAGGTGGAGGGAGATACGGGAACTGAAAGGGTTCAAAACTGATGCAGAGTTCGCGACATTTCTGCTGGACAGGTAATAATACCCCTAAATATAATGGTAATAATAATAGCTCAGCTTCATTTCGTTTTGCTTCAGATAAAACACAACATACTGACTGAAATGACGCATATCTTGTGAGTGATGTTGCGGTGGGCTAATGCTAGCTTGTTCCCAGTACTGAGGTTTGTGATGAGCGCGTGAGTGTGAGGGGTTGTGTCAGGAAGGACATCCGGTGTGAAAAACAAAACAAAACTGCCAAATCATACATGTGGAGCTACAAGATGTGAATAAAGAGCAGCATGAGCTTTAGAAATAGGTTCACTGAGCTAAAGCTGAGTGAACCTAACCATTAATCATATGTTGATTAATGGTTTTCTTTCGTTTTTGATGTACTGCAGAATATTTTTATAAAATCCCAAGCCAGGAAAATCACCTTCATGTTTTTCTGTGTTTTATCTTCAGCTAATTTGACACAAAGGCATCTGCTGTGATGATTACACCTTTGATAAAGTCTTGCAAGTGTCAGCTTCCTTTTTATAGATACAGAAATATGTAAATGTACTGATCTGAATTATGTTTCTGACTATCTGAGGCAAAATTTCCCAGATGCAAATTGAATTGAATCGAATCGAGGATCGAATCGATTTGGGACCTTGTGAATCGGAATCGAATCGATTCTAGAAATTAGTGACGATACCCAGCCCTAATAGTCTCCTTTGCATTAAAAAAGACGACCTTCTTTCGGCTGCACCCTTTAGGGGTCGCCACAGTGGATCATCTCCCTCCATCTCACCTAAGCATCCTCTGTATGGAAATCTCATTCTTTATTATCTGTATGTTTCTGATGTAACCCTCCTTTATCTGGGCTTGGGACCGGTGTACACTGGCTTATGCACTCACGTTGTGTTTCAATAAATGGAAAAAGGAAAAAGAACATGAACATGAATCAAGTTGGAAAAACATCATGAAGTCTAAGAAAGTTTTTGAGTTGTTGACATCATACTCAAATTAATGGCACATAAATATTTCATTAACCGCAATACATTTGATTAATTGTGCAAATGTTTGTTATTCAAATAAATATTTTTCCCACACTTAATCTGTAATATGGTAATTGTTTGTAACCATAGACTGTATATCAAAGATGGATGTAAGCACATCACCCAGTGCTCTGGAACATTGCATTTTGAAGCCTCAACGTTAACGCTTTGGCCATCATTATGTAAAGCAGAATTCAAAGTACATCAACTGACCCCATATGTGGGCATTTATCTATGCAAAGTGAAGGATTGTGGGTATCCCTCCTACACAGTTGTCCTTCCTCAGCGTGTAGTGTGACAGTGATCACCCTATGAAGAAGTAAAATGCTGAGTGATTGAAAATTTAGAAAAGAGAAGAGAGAGTTTACCAGGCCTAAACGTGAGGTTATAATGTTTTTGTTTTCCATGTTATGAGTTAGCTCTTGCATACTATGCTTTTGTGCAATTATTTAAATAATTAGTAACCAGATGTAATTTTTCTGGATTTTAGTTTGACCTCCATGAATTGATTTTCTGCAGAGATGCTGACTTTGAAAAGGAAGAGCTGAGTTTCAGTGAAGCAGAAAAACCTTCTGCTCAGGTTTCAATGTCAAGGTATATGTTTTTTTTTATTAATAGTATTTATTAGTTGTTTTTTTTTTATTAATTATACTGTTGTCACAGATTATAATTTCTAGGTCAGACATATATGCATACCTTGTACAGTTAGATCCTGTATTGACAGACAAAGTTCAATAAAACAGTCATAATCTGAATGAATTGCAGACTTTTACGGTTTTTTAAAAAGTAGTACATTAGCAGAATTGCAGAAGTTTTTCTATACAGTCTTGTATTTTTCAAGGTCTCATATGTAATTGGACAACTTCACACTACCGTAAATGGAATGCTTATTTTTAATGAGTGAAAAGTCAACTTGTCCAAAACAAGTATGCATAAAACTGCAAAGCTATTTGTCATCCCTCAAACTTGATGATGACTTCAATTTCATCGTAATTCCCATACACACAATATTTACATCAACTTATAAGTCATTGAAATAATGTTCGTTTTCCTTCGCTGTAGTGTTGACCGTGCAGAGAACTGGGTGTGTTCTCCGGGCGAGGACAAAGATGTTTCAACATCAGAGGATGAGGATGGCGTCAGTGACAATAAGGATGAGGACTACATCCCTCCAGTATACATTCAGTAAGCCCTTCATTTAAAAGTTCAGGTTCATGAAAAGTTGTTTCATTTTTCTCACTGTCTTCCCTGTTCCTCCAGCAGTGGCAGTGCCAGTAAAACTAACATGCACTCGGATGCTCCAGAGTCTATCAGCAAAGGGGACGCTTCACATGAAACTGCAGAGCCAATGGAGCAGCTGCCAGGGGGCATGGAAAAAACGAAAGTCCAGAGTGAGGACAAAACTGGTTATCCCGCATCCATTATTTACTGCTGACTGATTTAAACACCAGCAGCAGTTGTGTGAGATTAGAAGGATTTTATATAAATGTCTCTGGGTCGGGTGCATCAACAGATCGTTATGAAGCCTGGTCTTCACTGATAACTTAGTTTTTGTTTGGACCAATTTGTAGGATAGATATTGTGTACAGCATCCACCAAACAAACCTAGTCTTACTTATACCTGCTGTTAGCATGTGAGTGCCCAGGTCATTTTGGCTGTTGCCTAGCAACCACAATGTAAATTTGTCATTTCAAAGTTGGCAGCAACTCTGAAATAAGACAGTGAACAAAGTCAACGGAAGATCACACTGATTATGTAAATCTCTGACAACTCTGTCTTTTAACTTTAGCATAAGTGTTACTTTGACAATATGAAAAAAAGTCTGAGTTACAAGCCTTTCAAGCACGTGCAGTGGGTCAGAATTTAGCTTTTTAAGTCGCCATATCGAGATCGCCCCGTGAAGTTTTCTCAAGATCAAAAGAATATTTAACAGATCTTTAAAGGAAGGAAGTTACAGTTTCAGAGAGTCACTGGGCTGAGTGGGTGCACTGGGTCCTAGTATGCAATAAATGGGGATTATTTTCAGCTTTCTGTCATGTAATGCTGCTTCTGAATTAAAAACACTGGGGCCATGTTGGTTCAGCCTCTTTATTCACGACAGAGTTCAAGCCAGTATTTTAAAAATGTTATTGAACACTTTTACACAGGAAAGGCAAGTAGGCCTTGAGTTAATGTAACCTGACAAAGTTTTTTACATATCTTTAATTTTTCTTTTTAAAATATGTTTGCTTGAAGTATTGAGTAAAACAATATTACTATAGCAAATCGGTTTATTTAAATATGCTGTAGTTTAAAGAAGTTGTAGTTGTTAACAGCGCTGATAGTGGATTTCTCCAAAAAAAAAAAAAGTTGACATGTGCTATCCTCCTGAGGTTTTCTTTGTTACGATGGCAACACATCCCCACAAGTCACTGGAGAAAAGTTAAGCACCAAAGTCGTCATTATTTTCTCTGTAACTTGGTGCCTATAATGTTATGCTGATTTTTGTGTCATTTGTTCCTACAGGAAACAGGCCTCATCATCAGCTTGGAAACCAGGAAAGGAATGCTGCCAACAAACACCTTCAAGTGAGCAAATTTACACCTTATAGATTAAGACTTCTTAAACTGTTGATAGCTGTGCACCTATTTAAGGAGGCGGGGTGTGATTCAGGGCTACACAGAAAAACTACATCCATTAAAAACCTTTGCACAGCATTTTTAATGTGTCTGTTCAGAGGATGGACCTTTTTAAAGGGACCTACACTATTATCAGTGATTACAAGCTCCAAAGTTTTATTATTGGACTCTCATAGAACAGTTTGGAATGATTCATGGTTCAAAATAATCCCTGTTATTTTATACTTTAAACCGGGTACCCGGGACAGGCTTACTGAAGTCTTACCTGGATCCAGACTCAGGGTATAGGCTTGGGGACAAGCATTTGGTTGCTCAACCTGAAAAAGGATGATGTGGGTCCATCCTCTTATGGGCCCACAACTCACAGAGCAGGCCATAGGTGTTCGGTGATCTGTGGCAGTCAGAGGCGGAGGCCCTGGCTCTCTGATCCTTGGCTTACAAATCTGATACGTGGCACGTCACCTCTCTGGTGGGGAAGGAGCCGGCGCTTTTGTGAGATACCAACTAGATGTAGCCAAGCTCACCTCAGTCCATAGCTCAGGCTCTGGAACCAGTTCACAGATAGATTGGGGAGAGCTGAAAGTAAAAGCATAGGTGTCGATTCCTTTGAAGACTGGCTGGGCTCTTCCTTAGAGGTAGGGCAAGGAGCTCGGTCATTCAATACTGCTACTCCTCCACATAGAAAGGAGCCAGTTAAAGTGGTTTGGGTATCTCCTAACGGGAGGAGACCCTGGAGTATTGTGCAAATATGAGAGCATGTCGGTTCAAAACCCAGATGTATCACCCAGAATGAATTGTGCCTTTCGGAAACACCCACATGTTGAAGTACCGCAACTTCAACATGCAGCGCACCACAGCGAGTAGTTCTACATGTTGAAGTTTTTGTACCAGATGCACAACCTCAAAAGGATCTGTGAGTCCTCCTGACATTGTTTGTTTTTTGGGCAAATGTGATAACCACTCCACTGTGGAGCCTTTGCTCAGGCAAATGCTGACAGTTTAAAACTTCATGTGTTCACAGTGGAAAACAGAGGAAGGCCACGGAGCTGAAACACGGGAGCAAGATCATGAAGCAGCACCTACAGGTAAGTTAGACTATTTTATTTTGATGTCATATTTTTTCTTTATAAGATCCGATCCACAAGACACATAAAAATATCCTCTGCTGGCCATAAAAGATTTTTAAGGTCGCAGAAAAATCTCTTGATGTTTTGATTTTTGCATATAAGCGTGATTGAATCAGAAGAATGTTTTTATCTCTTTAATGCAGCAGTAATCTAAACAGAGTTTTGCTGCTAGTGCTCGATGCCTTCCATACTCACACTAATGTTCTGAATATTATTATTTTCAGGTATTTATTTTTGTTCAGGAGAATTTTTAGGTGCGAGTTCAGAATCCACCAGTGAGCACACCGGCCTCGCTTACAAGACCGAAGAGATAAAACCGCCGCAGGCGCTTCGCAGACCGAAGAAGATCTACAAGTGTCAGACCTGTAGTAGAGTGTTCCCTCGGTACAATGCACTGCAGCGCCACCTTGTGATTCACTCGGGAAAAAGACCTTTCAAATGCTTTATATGTGGGAGAGGATTCACCCAGAGTGGAAACCTCAAAACACACATGAAAGTTCACAGAGGTGAGAGGAACCTCCTGCTGTGCTCAGGACACTTTAACCACAAGCAGTCATGTGATTAATTCAGTTGTGCTCATGAAAGCATCCGTTGAGTTTCTCCTCTTGTGTATCACGATGTTTCTTCTTTATTTAATTGCCCATCTGTATCTATCAGTCACTGTATTTGTTCCTCCTCACAGGTGAGCTTCCAAAGTGGACCTTAGTTCAAAAGAAGAGCGAGCCTAAAGAATCGCCTGCTACAGTTCACGTGTGTGGGGAGTGTGGAATGGACTTCCCTGAGAAACATCAGCTAGAGGAACACCGTGAGACTCACAAGAAACCCTACGCATGTCCCGACTGCGGCAAGAGATTCAAACAGGAAAATGGCGTTAAAATCCACATGCGGCTCCACTCAGGAGATTCCCTTTTCTTCTGTTCCGCCTGTGGGAAACACTGCACTACGGCTAAAATGCTTAAAATACATATGCTCACTCACACCGGAGAAAAGAATTACCATTGCGATCAGTGTGGGAGGGCGTTTTCACGCTCTTCCTATCTAAAGTTGCACCTCAGAACTCACACTGGAGAGCGACCTCACCTGTGCTCGATCTGTGGTAAACGTTACTCCAGAGCAGATACTCTTAAAGCCCACCTGAGAGTTCACACTGGAGAGAACCCGTACACGTGTAAGATGTGCGGGAAGTGTTTCTATTATTATCAGGGTTATCAAGCACATGTGAAGACTCATAACAAGAAGCCCAAAAAAGCTACAAGACCTCTGGGGAGACCAAAACAACAGCTGATAGTGGTAAATAATCAATAATGGGATTTTAGAAAAATAAGAAAATATTAAATTATTTTTGTTATATAATATACCTTTAACTCTCTACAGAGAAATTTCTGAAGTGGTTGGAGAAGCAGTGTAAATGTAATGTGTTTTTTAAGCACAGTTGCTGTTATGTGACTAGAACTGTGAAGACAATAAATCCTAATAATTGTTCCTGTGTGTTTTGTAATTGTAGTCTTAACAAACTCTTAAACTTAATGTTGATTATTCCAGATATTGGAGACTTAGTGGATCTGATACAAGGATTTGCCATTAAGCCAAAAGCTTAATCCAGTGAAGCTAGAAATATCACTGTTATTTGTTTTTTGTCCTTGGAAACAATCAGCCAATCACACCTGAACGTGAGGTTAGCTTATCAATCACATTACAGCAACTTAGTGCATTTACACTTGTCAAGATGGCCTGCAGAAGATCAGATCAGGAAAGAAATGTGATTTAAGTGACTTTGAATGTTGTGTCCTTGTTGGTGCCAGACAGACTGGTCCGAATTTGTTCAGAAACTGGTCTACTGGGCTTTTCCCACACATCTAACCCTAGGGTTTACAGAGAACTGTCTGGAAATGACTAAAAAGACTAATAGTTTTACTTTGAAATTCAGATTGTAGATTGAATTTGATGGAAAGAACAAGAAACCATGGATCCATCCTGCCTTGCATGGAAGGATGGATGCTGGTGTGAGCATCATTTAAACACCACAATCTACCTACCTGAGGGGGTTCTGACCAGGTCTTGTTGACTTGTAAAAGCTTATGGGACATTTTGTATTTCACCATTTATTAACTGCACAGAGAAGGCATTGTTTACATAGTTAGTTTTCTTTAAGCAAAAAGTATTATTAAAGTTCTTTATGTCCTCTTTTTTGGAAATCAAAATATGGTCACCCTATCCAAATAGATCTTTTGAAACCTAGTCTTGAGGTTTCAAAATATGCAGTACATCTTGATGTCTTGAAAGGGGTCACAGTGACTGCATCCACTTTTAATATAGAGTCTATGTTAGAGCATAGGGAAGCACTTTCATCCATAGCCATGATTACTTCCATGTTGCTGGCCAGTATGCTCTCAATATAGTTATAATTTGTACTCTTTTTTTTAATTTAAAATACCCTGTCGTTATCCGGTACCCAGAAAGTATATTTATTTCCTTGAAAGCTCCCATTTGTTCTGCCGTCGATTTCTCTAACCAGGGGTTTCTCTGAACACCAGCAGTGCGAGAAGAACGCCGGTTCGTGAACGCGCCGCGCACCGCCTCTACCTTGCGCATGCGCTATAGCTCCAAATCTTCGGGAAAAGTTTACAAACAATGGCTGAGGAGCAACCTCCAGCATGCGACGAAACGCCCGTCCCCCTTCTCCTAATGCCAGCGAACACAACAGAGCCAGTTAAAGAGAAGGTTCCCGACAACCAGCGAGCTGAAACGAAAGCGTTAGCCCGAGACAAAAACAGACTAAACATTGGAGCTGTTTTTCACAGGTGGAAGCACGTACGGGAACAGAGAGGATTCAAAACAGATGCAGAGTTCGCCACATTTCTGCTGGACAGGTAGTTACCTGTGCTTGAATCGTGTTTAAGGTAGCTAAGATGTCAAATGTAACACGCCGTGCTCTATCACTGTCGTGTTGTAGTCAAGCTAACGTTAGCGTCATCATAAAGCTAAAGTCACTGAGTAGCATAGGGGTTTGGTTTTGTTTTAACTATGAGTATCTGGTAGTAGTCCAGCTGCAGCCACTGACCGAGTGCTGTGAGATGGGCGTTTCCTGATTAGGCTCAGGGGGTGTGTCCTGCAGGATTTGCGACGCAACAGCTAGACGGTATAGCGAAGAGGGAAGTGATTGGTCCCTGGCTTGCAAAGCACATAGGCACACAAAGGTAGTTTCTGATTTAACAGTTACCGGAAAAGAAAGTAAAACAAATAAAGTACAGCAGTGAGGGTTTTTATTTTTTTTTGTATTGCTTTGTTTTTTTTTCTTTAAAACACTGTTGGACTTTTTAATTAAAGCTCCGAATGATGTTTGAAACATTTGTTCAGTTTGTTAGTGTGTCTTTAAGCAGCCTTTCTTTACAAATCAGAAACTGTTTAAACAAATAAACTAGTCCAGATTTGGTCAGTGTAGTAGTTTTTGATCTGGTCTCGCTCTGATGTGGGCTGTGAGAAAAGAACATAATAAATGCCTCCATAACTTAGAGCGATGGTTTCAGCTGTGTTAATAGTTAACCCTCAAATGTATGTTGCACTTCTACAAGATTTACAGTACCATGTAAAAGTATTTGCCGCCTCCCTGATTTCTGAGAATTTTACATATTTGTCAAATGTTGAAGAGTTGCATCATCAATACATTTTAATATTAGACAAAGATAACCTCAGTTAATAAAAACACAGTTTTAAAATGATGATTTAATTTATTGACAGTATTTCTGAATGGAAAGGTTTCAGAAGCTGTGACCACATGGAAATGGCACACAACGTGACACCTTTAATTTAACTTATGCTGGGTGCAGCTTGTTGAAAAGCAGCGTGTGCAAGCCTGCACTGACATGTGAAACAGGGTATAAAGCAGCGTATATTGTGTTCATCAGTGTTTTATTGGGTCGTAACTGTCTAATAATATATTTTGCATTTTACAAAATATGAACAGGACAGAGGAAATTACTTGTTTTCCATGTGAGTACAAAGGACATGGTTCGACATCAGAAGAGGAAACGGCAAAAGGGGATGGTTGCTATGATGACAGCGATGATCAGGATTACGTTCCCCCTGTACATGTTCGGTAAGCTCTGAACCAGAAGTTTGTATCAATAAAAATGACTTTTTTTTTCATGACCTTTTCTTATTCCTACAGTGCTGGCTGCCTGAGTGCTCCCAAGTCGGTCACCAAACAGGTCCCCGTGCATGATGCTGTAGATGCAGAACAAACAGAACAGCCACCAGGAGCAGAAACAATCCACGTTCAGAGTGAGGACGGCAACACTGGTCATACTGGATTCATTATTTAGTCATGATTTTCTGGAAAACGGTCAGGTTTTCTGTGTAACCTTGTTAGTGGTTGTAATATAATAATGGGTTTGTTTATATAGGAAACAAGCCTTACCATCTGCTTGGAAATCAACACAAGGTTTGGAGAAAATGCATCCTGTAGATGTTTAAAATCCCACCATTTCACAGCAAACACTGCTTTCAAGCAAGAGAATTTAAAGCTCTTTGTGTGTTCACAGGATCAGGAGCAAAAACCTGAAAACACCTGTTCAGCAGATCAGTCTTCCCGGACACCAGGGGCTTCCTCCAGACCTCCGTCGTATGAGCTGGAGCTCACGCCATCTGTCTCACATCACAACGTGCCAAAGAAAATAAACCGGAATGAGACGAACACTGATGAAAATCCCAGTGAAGACCACAGACCTGAAACACAGGATCACAGCACGGCACCCACAGGTGATGGAGTGTTATTAAAAAGACTGACAGACAGTACATGTGTTGCATAAGATGAAGCTAAAAATCATGTTCATGTCTTGGGCTTCACCAACATTCATTATGAAAGATGGTCCTTCTTTTTGTGGTACACATATGAATATTATTTTGAGCTTCATTTAATTTGTGGTTTAACTTCTTGCCTTCTGTTAGAAAGATATCAAAAGTAACAGACAGTCGATTTTCTGTCTTCTCCTTTTTTTATGCTTTATATGTCTGAAAACTATTGAAATAAGAGAAAGATCTACACACACTTTAATATCATAATTTGATTATAAATGGAAACCATACACACACAGTGCATGCAGTGCAACAACTTCACACTGATATTTCTGTATTTTGAGGAGAAATTCTCACTCTAGAACCTACCAGTGTACAAAGCTCCCAGGAGCTTTGTAAACCAAAGAAGACGTACTACTGCCCGACCTGCGAAAGAGTGTTCCCCCGGCACAACGCCCTGAAACGACACCTCGTGATTCACTCGGGAAAAAGACCTTTCAAATGCTTCATATGTGGGAGAGGATTCACCCAGGGTGGAAACCTCAAGACACACATGAAAGTTCACAGAGGTGAGAGGAACCTCCCGCTGTGCTCAGGACACTTTAACCTGTTTCAGTTAGATGTTTGTGGCAGTTGAAAATCCTCTTTACTCATCTTTTACCGAGCTGCACAAAGAACAGTTAAAAAATGTATGGACTGCTGAGTAGACTCGACTGGTATCACGGTTTTGTTGAATACCTGGGTGTTTAGGCATTTTGATGTTTTGATGGTTTTCAGTACCTTCAAAAATACAGCTGCTCCTCTTTCAAATACTGATGTTAAGGTGATGCATTTTGCACGGCTTGTGCCAGCAGAGGGCAGTCTCTACTGGTCGAACAAGCATGAGCTGTGTAAAGATTACAGTCAGTTTAATTAAAAAAAAATAGTGTTCACTCATAAATAGAATAACATCTTCCAAAAAATTGATGCACTCTCCTAAACTTAAAAAAATCCATTAAAAATGCATGAGAGCGGACGCCGATTTGTAGATGCCGCCATGTTGCCCCACCAACTTGACTATAGTGGGCGAGATAGACATCGCTGCTCCACCTAATCTCATTGTGGCTGTATGTTGTTAGAGACCAACCACATTTGTATTAGGCCAACAGTCGGGGAGAAAAAAAACTCATAGGTGTCCTTTTAATTGGTGTCTGCAACCGTTAGATTCAAGATAAAAAGCATCATAACTTGCCGACGAGAACAACAACAATTTTCCAAGAGATATGATGATGAGAACGAACTGTCTCTCTTGCCCAATCCCTCGAGGCCACCTGCGTAGGCTGCGGACTGTTGATCTTCGCCTAATGGGCGAAAGGACACTTTCTCAGGCTGAACTGGTATGCCAACAGCTGTGCACATTGGCATACCCCCCCATGTTGCTTGTCTTGTGTTTTTATGGTGTTACGATGTGATATTTGTGCTTTTTATGTGCTGGAGTTTTTGTCTTTTCCTCATGCTGACTCCTTTTAAGGATCAGTATGAGCAGAAATTCTTTTTTTTCTCCTGATCTGACCTTTTGTTTTATACATTTCATTGTTTTTCCTTTTGCTACCTAGCCTGACCTGTCTCCCTAGCGTGAAGTTGTGTATTGTAAGTACGGTCGGCAAGGTTTGTTATCTCAGTTGCAGGCAACTGCAACTGAGAAACAAATGCATTATCCAATCCAATCCAATAACTGTGTTTTATCATCTGAGAAAGGGTGCCAAAGAAACAAAAACATAAAGGAAAGAGAAAACATGATCAGCATCTGGACAAAATGTCATCTTCTTCCTCCTCAACTCTGACCTCTAAGCCGTCAGCAGAAGTCAGGCCTTTTAACACATGAAAATATCCGTGAACATGCTTATTTATTCTCAATATTGTCACAATTAATTATTGTCAGCAGATTAAATATGTGATCCTCCCGTCTCCAGACAGTGAACAACACTGATAAACAGCTTGATCACAATCACTGAGCATCAGAGTCCAACAAAGTCAAAGAAAGTTTCACTAATCCTGGCTAACAGCAGCTAACAGAGGTTAACAGCCGCTAACAACAGCAGCAGCTTACCAACAGAAAAGTTCAGGATATCCAACAACTCGCCTAAGTATTGCTATCATTGTATAGAGGTGAGTTTCAATGAGTCATTGACTCATATCGGACTACTTTTAAAAAGTATTTTTTAATTCAGTTGACTGCAGTCAGCAATCTACTAGTGAGATTTTACACGCTGTACCCTTACTTTATTCAACTGGGAAAAAAACAAAAAAAATCATCCAATTAAAAACAATTACATCATCTTCGTTCAGCCAACTGCTGGTTGGTAGTTTCCACATAGCAGGATGAGTCATCAGTTTCTTCAGCAAATGTAATGAGAACTTAGTGTGAACTCAACAAAACAATCAATGCCTCGACCCAAGTTTTTCAAGCAGAGGCTCTCACTGTGTAACATCATGAGCAATTTTATTCAGTTCACCTGGCTGTGAACTTGAGGTTTTGTTTTTTTTGTTTGTTTACTTTATTTTTAATTGTGTACATGCTTGTATTTTTCACAGGAGAGTTACCAAAGTGGACATTAATTGAAGAGAAGAGCGAGCCTAAAGCATCTCCTGCTACAGTTCACATGTGTGGGGAGTGTGGAATGGACTTCCCTGAGAAACATAAGCTAGAGGAACACCGCGAGATTCACTGGAAGCCTTTCGCATGTCCTGACTGTGGGAAGAGATTCAAACATAATAAGAGTGTTAAAATGCATATGCGCCTCCACTCAGGAGATTTACCTTATCTCTGTTCAGAGTGTGGGAAGACTTGTGTCACGATGGAAATGCTTAAAAAACACAAGTTAACTCATACCGGAGAAAAGAACTACCACTGTGATCAGTGTGGGAGGGCATTTTTGCAATCTTACAACCTCAATTTGCACCTGAAGACTCACACCGGAGAGCGATCTTTTCTGTGCTCGATCTGTGGGAAACGTTACTCCAGAGCAGATACCCTAAAAGTTCACCTGAGAGTTCACACCGGAGAGAACCCGTATGCGTGTAAGATATGTGGGAAGTGTTTCTATTACAATCAGGGCTATCAAGCGCATGTGAAGATTCATGACAAGAAGCCAAAAACATCCATGAGAACTTTGGGGAGACCGAAACAGCAGCTGATAGTGGTAAACAAACAGTAATGTGATCAAGAACATTTACAGCAGTCTGAGAAGCCTTTGATTATTAAACCTAAACAAAGACATATACTCCTTTCTGTTAATCTGACTTCTGAGCTTCAAGAGATATATGCATACTTATGAATGTGGCACAATGGCATTAATCTGATGTTTAATAATTACCCTAAAATGGAGACAGGATTGGTCAAGATTGTCTGATCCATTGATTAAAGTCCCGTAATCGCACATACAGTGTGGCCTCTGTTTTAAAGAGCTGATGACAAGCCTCTAACCTCGTGCATTATGTATGGCAATTGATTTATCTTTATATCTCGCAAGTAGTATGCAATACTGTGCAAGTACAGTGTCTTGTCCCATCAGTGTTGTAATGAACGTAGCAGTCTGTTGTCACTTTAACAGATTCATCAAGCCAGCAATGTTACATATCCAGTGTCTGAAAAGAGTTAATTTGAAATAAAATCTCTCGGATGACTCAAGTAGAAAAAGTATTCCTGTAGTATATTTTGTATGGTCACTTCCATTGTCCGTAGTTTGGTCAATGGTTCTTAAAAAAAAAACGAGTTCTTTGTATTTTTGGTTCATCCAAACTTGATCGTTGGATTAGAGTTAATGAAACATGACAATGAGCACATTTGAAATGTGGTGGATTGGGAGAGTTGCATCACGGATGTGCAGCCAACATATCTGCAGCAACTGTGTGATGCTATCATGTCAACATGGACCAAAATCTCTGAGGAATGTTACAAACACCTTGTTGACCTTCCTAATGTTGTAAATCTGCTCAACATTTGGCAATAAAAACCCTTTCTGATTCTGATTCTGATTCTTGAATCTGTGCCACAAAGAATGAAGGCAGTTCTGAAGGTAAAAAGGCCGTCCAACGTGGTACTGAAAAGGTGTGTTTGGCTTCAAGAAAGATTTTAGGTTATCTTATGCATAGACTTTCTAACCCAGGTACATTAATGTTATTAAAGCGATAGGCATGGTCATAGTGCATAGGTAGGCTTTGAACAATGCTCAGTTGGTACGGAGAGACCTGAAGTGTGCCAAAAATATATTCCCATGTCATTACATCATGCCAGGATGGATGCTTTCATGCGGTTTACAACAAGTTCTGACACTACTGTCCAAATGAAGACTTGTCAGATCAGGCAACATTTCTTCAATCTTCTAATATCTAATTTTGGTGAGCCTTGATGTCAGGAGTGACACCTGGTGTGTTCTTGAAAGCTGTAACACAACCGCTTCAAAATGATAAGTGTGCATTCAGAGATGCTCTTCTGCATACCTTGGTTGTAATGAGTGGCTGAGTTACTATTGCCTTTCTAGCAGTTTGCAGCAGCCTGGTTATTCTCTTCTGACATCAACAAAGCATTTTCACCCAGAGAACTGCCGCTCACAGGATATTTTCTCTTTTTTCTAACTGTGTCCAATTCAAAAACACTTAAATTGGCTTTCTTCCTCATTGAGTTTGAAGTGATTTGATGCTCTTCTTCAACATGTCTACATGCCTGAATGCACTGAGTTGTTTCCATGCGACTGGGTGAATTTATATTTATAAGTTGTTGACAAGGTTTACCTAATGAAATGGCCAGCACATTATTCACATGCATTTGACATTTGCAGCACTTGAAAAGTAAAAAAAAAAAGTTGTATGTAAATAGAGACATAATTGAATGCGTCATAGCAGAAGCTCGTGAATGTATTAATCTTTGTATGTTGCATTTATTAGTGCAGTGCAGCAGAGAATTCCAATAGTTACACCTGTGCTTGACGATCCTCTTCTATTTGAATATTTAAGGAATGACTGACTGCAGTGCGGTTTTAACACATTTCAAAACGGTTTTGCATGTTTGCGAATTGACAAAAAAGCTCCACGAAATGTTATTACCAAGGCTTTTATTTTGATTTAAAAGGCCAACCGGAAGTTCCGACGATACTTGAAGCTAGAAGCTAAAGCTAGAAAGGTTGTCATCAAATCCAGACGCTTATTTGCCGTAACTCATTAGTTGACATTAATTTGACACTGTGTGAACACATGAACATGAACCCAAGGGAGACGTAGAAATATTTCCAGGTCGTCTCCATAAACTTCTGTCGAGCGACTACTTTTTTACCTGGGGGAAAAATCTATACAGAGGTTGGTCAAAATGTCTATTGTCTGTTGTTAAGTGTTAGCTAGCTGAGTTAGCGTCGTTTGCAGAGCTTAGGGGGAGTCTGCGCAAATCTATCACTTTTAACGTCGGAGCATGAGACGGTGGGACCTGTTATTAGTTGCTGAATATCGGTTGTAGCTTAAGGGGGCTGATAGCTACCTGCTAAGATGAGCATAGCTGGTAAACGTTAGTGGCTAGCTGTTTAATAACAGTAGATGGAGGCAGAGATGGTGGCTGACCAAAGCGCTGGTCACCGCCGCGTCACGACTCACAGGCATCATTCAGCCTGAGGTCAAACTGTCTGTACTACTGTGTGCGTCTGCTCCGGCTGAGATGGCTATTCATTGCCACGACTTATATACACCAACAGGTCAGTCAGTCAGGCTGCTGCTTAACTTAAGTCAACATTAATGTGACACTTCATGGATGAGACAGATTAGCCCCTCCGAGCTAATGCTACTGAGCTAGCCGAGACACTCAGTTGACACAGATCTATGAGTACAGCTTCCCCTACTGCAGACCACTTCAGAGCTTGCTGAATTATTTTATTTATTTATTTTTACACAGAATTCACAGTAATATAGGTCACTGAAGAGGCAGCTCAGATTTAAAGGCCCAGCCTGGTTCACCTCCTCTACAGAGCAGCATCTAAGCTGCCCAAGTGTCCTTGAGCAGGACGATGGAGGCAGTTTGCTCACTGTGACAAGAATGCCTTTATTACTCAGATCCATCTGTCGATGGATCTAAGCTTAAGCAGACTGCAACTAAATGAAGAGAACATCAGTCACTATGTGAGCCCCAGTGGGTTATTTGTGGCATTAAATGAATCAACCTAATGAGGTAATCACAGCTGGGTTAAATAAAAATCTGTGGCTCATTATGAAATGTAATAACATCAGAAACAACACTGTAATCATTTGAGATGCCCCACTTGTGAATTTATGTACCCATACTAGTTTTTAATACCAGTGTTTTTTTTCTTTAGCTGTTATTCCGTCTTTTGTGCCAGAGAAATTAATAAATCTTCATTTAAAAAAAACAAACAAACATCTTTCTGCTCTTCATCACACTGTCTTTGAACATTTAGCCACCACAAAATTGATGACACAACAGATAAACATCGGCTACTGCCAACAGTAAATCTCATCATCTGCCAATTGCAGTCAGCAAGAACACTGGCCAAGGCCGATGTCTGCCTGATATATTAATGCATTTGTAATACACATCTATTTTATTGCTGCCAGTATGTCATGCTTAATTCTGATAAACATTTAATCCTAATAAGAAGTACCTTGAATATGGTTTCTTCAAAGAAATATGTTTTCTGTGTGGTCTGTGCTTGTAACATTTGTAATCGTTATCACCCAAGTAAACAACTTATATACACACAATAATTTTTTTCCTTTTCTTCACAATGTGCTGATCCAAATCAGGAAATGAGAGAAAATTATATTTATGATAAATAAAACTACTCAGGAAGCCAAATCAGGGAATTATGTTTATATGTCCCTTTGTAGTGTAATGCTAAAATACTTGTTATGTTTTTGCTCTCATTATTTCAAATACACGTTTTAGACCTATAATATAGGGGCCAAAAGGAAAGAGTCTAAAACAAGTCTGATGCTTTTAGCCAACTGCAGACAGTAGTTTGGTGTGAACTATTACTTTGGTGTTTGTTTACTGACAGTTATTCACCTTTATCAGGCTGTATATTTGAGAGATGGGCTCTGAAAACCCAGAAGACTTTGGTTCAGTTGTGATCCTTACTGAAGATGATCAGCAAGAGATTGGAGGGCTGATCAACTCTGATGGTGAAGAAGTGGATTTCTCAGATCTGAGTGAGTAAAAAAAACAGCAAAAATTAACCACCGACAAGAAAAATAGAAACTAGTGATGTTTTAAATACTGTGTGAGTCGTAGGAGTTTTGATTCTTGTGGTTTGTGGTGATTTCCTGTGTGAGGCATGTACCTTCCTTTATTATTCAATGTAATTCAACACAGTAGCAGTATAACTGTGTGCTGAAAATTGGAAGTTCTCACATTAGGCGCATTTGTTAATCTAATTAACTGGACAGAGAGTGTCATCTGTGCATGTCCTCTCCTCATTAATGGCCTATCAGAAAAGGCATTTTTGGCTTTCTTTCTCTCAGATTTAGTTAGTTTCAAAGAAAGTACAGTTTTACACCTGCAGTGTTTATTCTGTTTAAAATCAGACTGTGGTTTGTTGCAGTTTGTTTGTGCAGATGTGAACATGGTGATCGCACGCTGGTGTGGATGAAAACAGCTGGACCGAGACCCTTGGTCTCAGTTCAATTCCAAACAAACTGTAAAGCGTTTCATTTATAGCATGAATGCAATCTGACCCAGCTACCAGATATATGTTGCAAGTTAGAGCTAAACACTTCCCTTTAGCCATGTATGCATTGCATTCTGGGATGCGGGCGGGTACCATAGTACATCAGTACGGCCTATTAAGTAGCTGTGATATGAGCATAAATTCTCCATGTTCTCCACTCATCCAGAACACAGCACCTTCTTCCTGTATTTACTTTCAGGAAATAAGTGGACTGGATATTGTCACGTGGTTTGTAGTGATACATTTGGTTCCTCTGTGTGAAAAGAAACCAAATCACAGGAAAAAGCTACAAGTTTACAAACTCATAAACTGATTTACACCAGAGTAAACAAACTATAGATGGATAAATGCTCTAATATACTTCTCAAGAAGAATTATTTCCAAAGGTCCTGCAGCTGCTCCGATCTGCCACTAGTTTGTCTTTTTGTTTTTTTGAAGAAGCATAGCCTGCTTCTGAAATTGTTAAATAAATTGGTAAGAGAAAAACTAAAATAAATGAATATAGCCACTTTTGGATTTTGGCAAAAACAGTAGTGATAATGTTTGATCTAAGATGGGGAAGAATCCATCACTTTTGACCATCTTCACAAAGTGTGTCTGAGTTTATTAGATAATTACTTTTTTTTTGGCAATCAGCTCAGTTGGTTCAGAATTTTAATGTTGGTCATGAATCATGTGACTGTGTATTTGGTGACGATCAGAGAGAACTATGCGATCCATGATTAGTTTGACTAGTGAGCAATCCTCTTGCTCTCATTTTGATTGCTCAGTGGCTGCTAATCAGCCGGCCCCGGCGCTTCCTGTCTCGTGTGTCCATGTCTGCAGGCTGGTTACGTTGCTGTTGATATCCTAAAGCTGTCTCTCCAGAGAGTCTCTTCCTCCACGGTAAGACAGATGCCAGCTTCACTGACAGAACTTATTGTACGGTCCAAATGAGGACCATCTTCAGCAGCCACATTCGAAGGACGTGGAGCTGGAATCTGTGTGCAGGATGAAAGCTCATTGGAGAGGCTACTGACTCTATTGTTTAATTTTTTAGTTATTTGGTAACTGTTTCAAAATTAAATATTGGCAGTTCCCTCGCCCAGTCAGCTTTATAGACAACATCTGGTAACCTGATTTCTGAAGTGCTTCTAAGCATGGTGTTAGTTGTTCACACAGATTCTTGGTTGCTGATCTGTTCTTTGTGTTTCCACAGGAGTGAGTGCCATCCCCGGTGCCATACCTGCAGATGCTCCCTCAAAGACATTTGGTCCAAGTGAGAATGAAAAACCGCCTTCTCTTCACACCTGCTCAGTATGTGGGAAAGACTTTCCTTATGCCTCTAAGCTTCAGCGTCACCTACGTACTCATTCGGGAGAGAGGCCTTTCCCGTGCTCCATGTGTGAGAAGAGATTTCCAGAAAAGGGGCTTCTCATGATCCATGAAAGGGTTCACACTGGGGAAAAGCCATTCCCTTGCACTTTCTGTGAGAAAAGATTTGCCAGTCAGGGGGAGCTCCGGCTACACCGGCGGACACACACTGGTGAGAGGCCTTACCATTGCTCCATCTGTCTAAAGAGCTTTTCTCGTCACTGGCACTTGAAAACGCACTTGGAGGCAATGCACTCTGAGGTTGTTGCAGGCTTTACGAGGAAGAAATTTCCCTGTTCAGACTGTGAGAAAAGCTGTAACTCAGCTGCTGAATTGAGGGATCATCAGAGGACTCACACTGGAGAAAGACCCTTCCAGTGCTCTTTCTGTGACAAACGCTTCGCCTTGTCAGGTACGCTTGTAAGACACGAGCGCCTCCATACTGGCATCACGCCTTACCACTGCTCTGACTGCGGAAAGACATTTGCACAGCAGTGGACCCTGACCACACACATGCGGACTCACACGGGAGAGAAACCTTACAGCTGCACGCAGTGCGATAAGTCTTTTGTTGCTCCTGGAGAGCTTCGGAGGCACACCAGGATTCACACTGGGGAAAAGCCATACACCTGCGCAGACTGTGGGAGGCACTTCTCATTGGCAGGAACTCTCAGAAACCATAAACGGTCATGCACACAGAGCAAGAAGGAGTCAGATACAGAGGTTGTATCAGACTTAGTTCGGGCTGCAGCTGAAGAATCTTCCCAGCGAGATCAGGCCAGCAGCATCAGCTCTGAGGTAGTGGCAGTACACAGATATTCAAAAGTAGTATCTCTGTGTTTTATTTACTTCCATTTCTTCTTCTGAAATTGTGTTTTTAGGTGTCTGTCAGTCAGACTGTGCCTTGTGCAACTGAGCCCACTTCCTCAGAGGGTTTTAAAAAAGCAGCTCAGTGTGAAAATACCCCAGAAGGACCCATCGGCCAGCCGGACGACACTGCTCCCACCCCACATATGAATGTAATCGTGAAAGAGGAGGAAGAAGAGGAACCATTGTGCGGTAAGTAAACATGACATTCCAGAGTGTCTTTTTACGCATTAAGAGGAGTGTAAACATGTTTGATCAGCAGTGCTGTTTTTGTGTTGTTGTTGTTTTTTCCCAGTGGAAGAAACTCCAGAGCAGGTGTCTGTTGGTGAGGACTGTACCATACCAGAAGAAACTGAAAAGCAGCGTCAGGAAAGCACCACAGAAATTAGTATTACAGTAAAGGAGGAAGAACAGCAACCTCTCAATAGTAAGAATACACAACAGCAAATCCTACTGCTGATGAGTAGTCACTAACTGGGATGTGGGTAACTAGGTTATCTAATATCCCTCTTCCACTAGTATCTACTTGACTGGGCTCGACTCGGTTTTTAAGGTTTCCCATTAGGAGGTAGTACCTGGTAATCAAATCCGTCATTTTTGAAACCTGGCAACAAGGGAAATGGCCACACAAAAAACAATACAGTGGTACCTGAATCTGAGAAAAAGCCACACACTGAGCAGCATCATTTTGTCATACTCCTTTGGTGTGGCCTTTGGCGGACCTTTGCTGGACCTTCGCTGGTGTTGCTATAATGACTCAGAGTATACTAGGTGGTTCTCGATTGTAGTGGAAAACAACCAAAACTGAATCAAGTCGAAGTTGAGCCACGTAGGCACAAGTGGAAAAGGTCTATGTGTTTTATAAAGTGGCTGGGCAAGAATGTGTTCTTTATCCCAGCTTTAGAGCAGCATTAAGTAACACTACATAGCAGTCGTTTAAAGAGGGGGGGGTAATTATAGGTTATTGTTGCACATAATTCTTCTGGGCTTTGACTTTCAATGGTGAAAGCTGTTGGGTGACAGCCTTCACTTTTAAAGCAACAACAACATCTTAAACCAGTAATTTTACTTTACAATGTAACAGGAAACTTGTTAGGTGTAATTTAGCTAAATATGATGCTTTTCCATTTTAGAAATAACGAATGGCAGACACTGCATCAAACTTATATTCCAACATACAATATCTAGTAGCTTTAACTTTTTGTTTGTTCTTTTTGGTGGTTTCAAATGGCTTGTTTTAGCTCTTCATATTTACATTTCCACAGTGTCTGGAAAAGATCCCGAGCGTGTTGCAAACAGTGAAAAAGAATGCCCTCCATCACCGCCAGTGCGGGGAGAGTCAAATAACAACATACCAAAGAGCTCTTACTGCTGTGGCCTCTGCGGAAGAGACTGCCACAAGATGTCTGCGCTTCAGATCCACATGCGAATTCACTCTGGAGAGAAACCGTACCGCTGCACCTTGTGTGGGAAACAGTTCACCCAGAAAGGGCAACTCAAAGGTCACTATAAAGTTCACACAGGAGAGAAACCGTTTTCCTGTCCGGACTGTGGGAAGAGCTTCGCCCACTCGGGGGCCATGAACAGACATCGGCTCACGCACACAGGAGAGAGGCCCTACCACTGCTCTGTGTGCGACAGGAGCTTCAACCAGTCCGGCCGCTTGAGGGAACACGAGAAAATCCACTTAGGTGAGAAGTTTGACTGTCCTGAGTGTGAGAAGAGTTTCACACGAGCTTCAAGCCTAAAGAATCACTTCAGGCTCCACACAGGAGAGAGGCCGTACGGCTGTGACATCTGTGGGAGAGGCTTCAGCCGCTCACAAAGCCTGAGGCTCCACAGACGAAAACACGAGCAGATTCAGACCGAGGAGGAGTCTGCGTTCAATATGAGGAATGATGACTTATCACACAGCGATGATAACTCTCCAATTAATATGTGCATAACAGACAAGAAAGATGGATGATGTATTTAAAAGACATGTACCTCTAGTATTATTAAGACTTCAGACAGTAAAACAGGAACAAGGTGATGTGGAAATAAGGGACTACCTCTGTGATTAGAACTTTATTCATACTTTTGTGTGGTTTTTCACACTAGGGATGTGCAGCACTAGTCGGGCAGGCGACTACATGTTGCTTTCCTCACTAGTCATCGCAAGAAATGTTAGCGCTATAAGCAAAATATTCATATTTCTTAATGTATAATGCCAGTAAACTGTTCTAAGGTGTAGGTGTTATGTAGGAGTGTAGCCCCAGCAGCACGCCTCTCTTTCTTTCTGTGACAAGAACCTGAAAGCAAGCAATGTGGAAAAACAAGCAGACGACAGACGCACTAACCAGTGCGGTATGGAAATATTTTGATCTTTTAAAAAAGTGAACAGCTGCGTGTAGGCCATGGCAGAAACTGCTACTGGAGCGGTGCATGAACACAGTCTGCACAGACGTGTGGACGTTTACCTGCACGGACAGAAACATTAGCCACACTTGGTAAACTAACCTTGTACACTAACGTTGTGTGGGCAGTGCTAGACACAGCTCAGCACACATTTCAGCTGCATTATAATATGGATGAACATTTAAAGAATGTGATTAGCTGTTTTAAATGGGTCTCAAGTACACAAGCAGTATATGTGCGTCTACTAGACTGAAATTTTACTGTCACAAGTTTTTTTCTCAGATTGGTTGACTGGTCCGATTTTCTTTTCATTAGTTTTTTTCCCGAATTTACATGAAAATAATACTAACTTTAAAAAATTTAACTCCCTGAAGAGTGTAGACAGGCTTCTAAATAGATACACACCAAGTAATGTTCAGTAACACCAACCAAACATATTTCTACTAATTTATGTAACATCTTGGAAAGTGTTTAAAATTCTATATATTGGAGGTCACTTTTACCTAACTCTGTCACTGATTACCTGTCCTGGAGCCACTGGAATAGTCCACTCACACTTATTATTATGAGTGACTGATTTAAAAGTCTGTGATTACACTTGTTTTTCATGCAGTATTTGTTATCAGGCTAATACTGTATGTGGAAATTTGGTTGAAATTTTTTGTACTAAGCGTTATAGTGGCCCATTAAGCAGTTTAAGAATCAGGTGAATCTGAACCTTCTTTCAGACATTTAGCCAGAAATGAAACTAAATGTCATGAAATAATCAACAATGAAGCCAGTCTTCTGTAAGTGGCGAATGCTTATTAAGTCTTGTTTTCGATTGTTACTTATTAGCCAGATAACAATTCGGGTTCACCTGATTTTGTCGTCTTTTAAAGGCCGAGTAACCGACATGATTAAAGGTACCATCCTCTAATTCTGTGATGCTAAAGGCAATAATTTGAAGCCATGTAGGTGGTTAATTATGCCATGTGCTGCCTCTGTCTAAATGTATGGGACATGTCATGTTGAACAATAAAAGTTCTAAATACTACTTTGTTTGGGATTTCAGGGCCTGAATATGCTAGGGCAGGTTTAATATTGTAGTTTTTGCAAAGACCAGAACGATGCAGTTTATGGCAAACTTAAAAGAACCTTGCAGTGACAACATGTGGAATAAAGTAACATAATTACCAGCTACAGTGAACAAATAATATAATGCATATGATTCGGAAAAGCAACGTTCTACAGTGAGTGAGTATGTTTATTCTGGAATATATTTTGATCATTTAATTTGAGCCCCATTAAGCTACTTAAGCAGGACTGTATTTTTTACTTTATTTATTATTTTTATACTTTGCAAAGCAATTATCCAACACAATATTCTGTTTACACTATTGTGCATCACAAGTTTCACAAATGAAAATCTGTAAATCATATTTCTCCACCTGAGACTAAAAATGTTTCAAATTGGGACAGCCATTTTTCTACTTTTTTTTTCTTCTTCTTCTTAACTGATTTTCCTTTTTTTTCTTTAAATTTTTTTGTTTGTTTGTCTGTCTGATTCCTTGAAATTGGGAACATAATTTGAAATTTTGGGATACCAAGCTGAAATTTTGCAGTAATAACTTGAAATTTTTACTCATGTTTTTTTCAGTCATGATAGATGTTGGTCATCTAATCGCCTTCACATATTGCCACCACTTTCACAGAAGTCCCAGCTGCTCCTAAAGGCAGCACCGCTGAGAGCAAGCGTTCTTCTGACCAGTGTTGGGAAACAAAAAATTACTAACATATGGTCGGTAATTTTTATTTTACCGACCATATATATATCTCAACACGAGATATTTGTTTGTGGAGCATAAAGGCTGTATGCTCAAAGTTTGTTGGAGGGGACTGCGTCAAACGGAAGTTGTTGGAATTACGAGGTATTTTGAAAGCGCCGTAGAGATAAATAAACGCACACCGCGCCGAGCAGGCTGTGGTGGCAGAGGTTATTAACACTACGAAAAATTTAGCTTCGTAACGCGTAATTTAAAGCTAACTTTGGGCTGTATATTGCACCTCTGCGCCTGCAGAGAATAAAGCATATCCGGTTGGACGTCGCTAAAGGTGACACTCCTGTCTGTAAACGTTTGCTAAACTTAAGACTGCTGCTAAAGTAAGCTAACGCTAACGTACGTAACCTTAATGAAAAACAATAGCGTACCACTGTAGCAGGCTAGGGTGAACAGCTGTTTTATCTATTGCTTAACACCTGTAAATAAATCTCGAATGAACTTAGAGGCCGTACGTCTCCTAGGTGAACTTTGACATTCACGTGTATATCTACGCAGTAGCTAGCTAAAGTTAGCCACAAGTTGTTCAGGACCTCTCATTCGTGTGACTGGGAATAACACCGCAGCTTGGATTACGATATTAAAATATAAATTTCATTAAGTTCATTTCTTTGTTTATATAAGCTAATATAACTGCAGTTAACGCGTTTTTTCCGCATGTGTGACCTTTACTTGAAGGCTAAACTTGCTGCAGTTCAAAATGCAGCATGCCCAGTATATTAGTCACGGAACAGCTGGTGTATGGTGGTATTAGGCACATTAATTGTGACATTTATTACAGTTGAGTAAATGCCTAAATCTTAACCCTAATGCTTAATAAACATTAGACATCGCAGACACTGTAGTTTGTTTGTATATTTTTTCCATTGTGCTCATTGCATTGAAATGGGAGAAACTAAGTTTCACTTCACTGTTTGTCATGCACGTCTTCCAGCAGCTTCACACAAAGGAAATGAATCGTGGCTGCATGTCTCGACTGACTTTGCTCTCCTCTGTCTCTCACTGTCATAGACTCTTATTGCCACAATGGTTTCCTACAAGAAGTTGAATCCTGAAGATGTCCAGTTTTCCAGCGCAGTTTTGTCAGAAGAGCCTGTTCAAGGCGAGGCTTCAGTGAGTTAGCTTGTGTTTATGAATCTGTTTGTCATTTTATAATCTGTAGAGGCTTACAATTTTACGTTTTAGTATATTATCTCTTTCATTAGGATGACTCACAAGAATTAGGATCTTTATGAGGAAAGTCTGTATTTTACTGTATCCAGTGCTGAAACTGGATTTTTACTTCATTCCTGTGTTTCAAGGCGCTGGAGCCAGAGGACGCCTCATTGCTTCAACGTGGACCTTCATGCTCCGTCACCACGGGCCTCCTGGTGATCGGCTGCCTCCTGCTGGTGCTCTGTGGAGCATGGCTACTGGGTGCTGTGTTATGGCTGCACACTCCCAACCAACAGGAGCATAAACCGCCACTGCCGGGCCCAGGACAAACACCGGGCCCCAAAGTGCAAACATCAGCGAACGATACTGCTGCCTCTTTCCGCACTGAGACATGCAGTCTGATACCAGAGGCGTGGAGGTTTGATTGCTACCCTGAAAGAGGGGTGGTTGTGACCCGAGAGCTGTGCGAGGCAAGGAACTGCTGCTTTATCCCTGCGTCCACCGCTTTCTCCTCTGCCAGTCGCCCGTCAGGGAAAAATGGAATCCCTTGGTGTTTCTATCCTTCAGAGTTCCCTTCGTACTCGCTCGTGTCACTAAATGACACGCTGCTGGGACAGAAAGCTACGCTCGTGAAGGAGGTGAAGACGTATTACCCTGGAGACATCCTCACCATAGAAGTGGAGATGCGTTATGAGACGGACAAGCGGCTGCGTGTCAGGGTGAGTAGAGGTTTCACATTTAGTCATGGAAAACATAGAAGGGCAAAATTTTGGAAACTTACAAGTTGATGAATACATTTTGCTCATGTTCATGTATTAAAGAGCCTTTAAAACTTATAATTCATGCTGCGTTTTTGCACTGATCTTCTGTTTCTGTGTTCATTTTCTTAATTGGAGGAAGCGACAGACCAATAAAAGAATTAGTATTTGGTTTAAATAAAAGGGTATTATATAAAGGCTGTAATTTGGAAATTGGCACGGGCTAAACTGCCTTATAGTCTTAAATAAACATGATTGTTGGACAGCGATAGTTAAGAAACTTTATATGAAATGACTGAGTCACACTGTAAGAAACCTAAATGTGGAAAAAAGATGGGCAGATGGACTTCCAGTGCACACATCTGTTGATTCTTGCTTTGCATATAAAACAAACATGTTGACCTTTGCACTGTGATAATTTTATTGATTAATATTCATGACAATAAAGATAAGAGAAACTACACCTGTCTATTACAGATGTAAGAAAAATTTGCTCTCCTTTGCATTGCATTTTTCATTTCATCAGGTTCAAATCTAATCCTGTAAATTTGCTTGATTAATTAAGTTGTTTTTTTTTTTAAATTCTGATAAAATGTTTGTAACAATTACTGTCAGTTAACCACAAATTTTTCTCCATCAAGATCACCGACCCTTCAAGCTCACGCTTTGAAGTTCCCATCTCCGTCCCCACTGTCACCAACAAGACAGAAAGCCCAGATTATATCATCGAGCTCTCAAAGCAACCATTTGGTCTTGTGGTGAAGAGGCGCTCAACAGGAGCAGTACTGTAAGTCTGAGCTGAATGGGACATTCTGAAATGTGAGGAATAAAATATCTGATTCAGAGGGATTTTTTTCCACTTGCGGCTCTGTGTTGTAGGTCTCATTTGGCTTACGTTGAAGAAAAGGGCTATAGTTAGATTTCCTCATTCATATACATATTGGATACTCTTAACTGTATATATGTATTCAGTTATGAAATAACAGTCTCATTAATGCTTGTCCAAATGTTTCCTGTTAGTCTGAACACCACTGTGGCGCCTCTCTTCTACGCGGATCAGTTCCTCCAGTTCTCCACTTCCCTACCTACGCAGTTCATTTATGGCCTGGGCGAGCATCGCTCCACCTTCCTGCACGATGTCCACTGGAACACGCTCACCATGTGGGCTAGAGATGTGCCTCCAACGGTAACCATCAGTCACAGACACAGCTGCTGTGTGATCCCTCAGATGTTCACGTTAATATAGTTTTTGTCAGTAAAATGATCAGTTAGTTATTCTGTCTGATCATCTTTGATACTTGGCTGCCATGCTCTCACGTTTGCAGTCAGTTCACAAAGCTGTTGCAGGCTGTCTTTGGAGGATGACAGGAGGCTGAATTAATTTTGTTAACTGGCTGGATAAAACTGCAGATTACATGAAATGTATTGTAATATCTTTGCATTCTTCTTCCGTACTGTAGGAGCAGACAAACCTGTATGGGGCTCATCCATTTTACCTGGCAATGGAAGATGGAGGGAACGCACACGGCTTCTTCCTGCTGAACAGCAATGCAATGGGTAAGTCTGTTAGTCACCCTAATACCTTCTGGTTTCACAATGTGCAATAGGTCACATACACAAACACTCAGGAACAGCAGAATAAAATGCTTAAGCTTACAAGTCAAGTTCACATGACAGCAGCTGACTAAGTTAAGCAATTTCATAAAAGCAGAAGTTACAAATGGACTTTCCAGTGTGTGACAATAAACTTCATATCATACTCAGATGTCATATTGATTATTCAGAGCTTTGCCAACACAAACTGTAAAACGATTTGCAATGTACTGAAGTTTTAATAAGATTTGTTTCATTTTGCCATTGAACTAAGTTATGTTGAAAATCACCTTTAGATTATTATACAGACCTCTGTTCTTTTCTGCGTTTGTTTTCTGTGTTGTTCTTTCACAAACTGAAGATGTAGTTTGGAAATGAGAATGATCAGCCTAATATCTTACTCTATTTTCTTCTAAAGTGCACGTTTCTTTTGATGAAAAATGTCTCATCAGTTTCTTATCTGTTTTGTCAGACGTGGCCCTCCAGCCTACCCCGGCCCTTACCTGGCGTACTATTGGTGGGATCCTTGACTTTTACATTTTCCTTGGTCCTGATCCTGGTTCAGTGGTTCAGCAATATGTGGATGTTGTAGGTCAGTAGTAGCACTGTGATGAGATGCACATATATGTAGGCATGTGTACTGCACCCTGATCCATGTTTTCATGGGAGAAAACCTCAAAAATCAGACAACCACCCTTTGAGCAAACACT